TCATCCCTAATTGGTTCATTTGGACACAGGTCCAGATAGGGCCTTTTGCCAACCCGACCCCGAAGTTAAAGGCCGGGTCGTCGCGCCCCACTTGGACACCCTATTGCCTAATTTAATATTTGTGAGTACTCTCAAGAACATGCCATATTCTTGTAGGAGTTGGCCCTACTTTTAGACGCACATGGGTAATGCAACAAGCATGCATTGCACTCCAACACACTAGCTGAGAAGGGCTATGATATCTATTAGTTTGTAGAGTGGTGTTAGGGGCACACCCCCCTACCACACCACCAACCACACCCCCCTCTCCCATCGCTACAGTAAATCGGGCCTCACATGGGATTTTAAAATTTTTAAAATCTCATGTGGGGCCCGGTTTACTATAGCGATGGGAGAGGGGGGTGTGGTTAGTGGTGTGTTAGGGAGTGTGCCCCTAACATTATTTTAGTTTGTAATGCTCGATCTTAAAGGCAATGTTTGGCAACCGGTCAAATTGATTTGTAAGCTACTTTTGTGGTTTATAAGCCACTTGAAAGCGGCTCATAATCCTTTTTTTTAACCAAACACTTTGCCTTAATGATATAAGCCAAATGGTTTATAAACCAAATAGATTACAAGCCGAGTTCCAAAAATGCTCTAATACAAATATGCGCTAACCAACACAATAGAAAGGGACTTCTCAGTGACAGCCCTAACGGCATTGCGCCTGTAAGTCAGGAAATGAATCAAATAAACCTACTTTATGATTTGTCAACTACTTCTCTATGACATAAATAATGGCAGCGCATCACCAAGGTTTGGAAGCTCCTGTAGCTAATCCTAGATCGCTTGCTATGTGATCGTACTCTTTCCTGATACGACAGAGCAAAGAGTAACGCCAATGCGTTGAAGCTTCCGAACTAACTTTTTTTTTAATATTGCAAAAAAAATATTGAGCATCGCAATCTTGTACATGGGAAGTTAACAATGCACGAAAATAGAACAAGATGGCAAACGTTAACATCACATCAGTGACATAATTAAAATTTCCTGAAGAAAACCTATCCTAATCTCCACAAGAACTACCAATTGTACAAACATGAATAGACCTCTAACTTACACTTCATTCGCTCATTCATTCATTCTTCATTTTCTACGAGTCATCATCCTCAGGTAGCATCACAGTGAGGAGAGAATACTTAACCCGTAGCGAGATCTTACCCCTTTCCAGCTGAAGCTTTGCCCCCGAGACCACCCAATAGCCAGGAGGATCCTGAGGGCCTCTCACCATTTCGGTAGTATCAATAAATTTTAAGAGCTTCGGTGTCTGCACGGGCACTGGTGGACCCCCAGGATACACTGCTGAGTTTATGTACACTTCCGCAGGACGAGGAGGTGGCTTCTGAATGGCCGCTGTAAAATGTGTGCTAATAAGCGTCGATATGAGGCCAGACTTGTGAGTGAGCCCCGGAGATCCATCCCACTCAGGATTTCTCACCATTGCGACGTTGGAGACAGTGGAGAAGTGAAGGCGAAGGAAGAGGACTTTCTTGAGACCGTAGTGGCCAACATGGAGCTGGGCCCCGGTAACAATGGAGTTGTCCTCATCAGCCTCAATAGGAGCTGTGCAGACGTGGGAGAAGTGCCTCCATTGGATGGGCTCATAGTATTTGCGGTCATGGGATTCACGAGAGTAACTGCTGCTTGGATCATCATGAAGTTCAAAGATTCGAGGAAGGGAAGAGAGATGCTGGAGGTGGATCGCCAGTCTGTTGCTTCTTTTCCCTTCTAGGTAGAGACGAAGGCCGGTGACAGGCCTCTTGCCTACATCAACCTGCATCGAAACAGAAATTATGTATACATGTCGGGAAAAACCAAGAAAAAATACATCTAGCAGAAGATTTCCAAATGATATTCAATATTGAGGGTGTGTAATAGGAAATTAGATGATGGACTCAGACAGAAGGGAGAATCAGACAGAAGGTCTTTGGAATTTTTTTAGCTGTTCACCTTATAAAGAGGCAATGCAACCACTAAGGACATGTTCATTTGCACAGAAGTAATTATGAAGTAGAGGCTACTTCTGCTACTTCCGAGCAAAAAATCATATATGTTTCTCCGGAAAAACCTACTTTTAATACATGTCGGGAAAAAACAAGAAAAATTACATCTAGCAGAAGATTTCCAAATGATATTCAATATTGAGGGTGTGTAATAGGAAATTAGATGATGGACTTTGAGAGAATCAGACAGAAGGGAGAATCAGACAGAAGGTCTTTGGAATTTTTTTAGCTGTTCACTTTATAAAGAGGCAATGCAACCACTAAGGACATGTTCATTTGCACGGAAGTAATTATGAAGTAGAGGCTACTTCTGCTACTTCCGAGCAAATAATCATATATGTTTCTCTGGAAAAACCTACTTTTAATACTTCCTTAAACACTGATAATGCGCCTTTCAAGGCTCAAAAGTAGCCCGGAAGTAAGTAAAATGTACATTAATTAGAAAATAAGTAATTTTTCTTATCAATATTTCTTTTGTTAGTTAACAACTTTTCATTGCTATCCAAACAAAAAAAGGGGGAATGAAGAATGAGAAGCACTATTTGCACTACTTCAAAAAATATGTGAAACAAACAAAAAAAAAGTATTACTTCCATTATTTCCTACTTCATAAATTTAAAAGTTACTTTTTATCTATTTCCTACTTCCGTTACTTCTTCAAGCCAAACGGGCCCTAACTCCACCCATCAAAATTGCCTCAAATAGTTCAGATATTCTCTCTAACAACCCCATCAGTCATTATTCTCTCAGCAAAATATTAACTTTTGAGATATCGGTTGATTCAGTCACACTTAACCAGGTCAAAATAACATCTAGCTTTTCGAAAACGATAAACAGAACTAGTCACAGGTGGTGTCAGATCCAAAATAGAATATTAAAAATTTCAGGCAGAAGAGTTGGATCACATAGCTGTTGAAAAAAAAATAACAAAATCTCTCTTGAAAATCAAACTTTTGGAGAAGTAGAAGAAGAGAGAGAAAGAGCTTTATTTTGTGGCTGATGAGCGAACACCAGCAGGTAAAAATAGGAATAAATCTTCAGATTGCTCTTAAACCAGTGTGTAACAGCGAATTAGATGTTGGATTTTGTGGGGCTCCAATAAAGGCCTTTGGATATTTCTTAGATATGCATTTTTACAAAAAAAACTCTTCACTTTATATAGAGGCAACACACCCACTATCTCCACCCCTCAAAACTGTCGCAAGTATCTAAGAAAGAGATTCTCTCTAACCCCGCCAATCATTATTCTCCCAAAAATATATCAGTTGTTGAGCTACAGGTCAACTTGGTCATACTTGACCAAGTCAAAATAACATTCCCATCTAGCACCTACTCCGTTGATCATGAGGAAGAGATTGTGTAAAGAGCAAAGCCCCGGAGAGGGGCAGAAATCATTAGATGTTTCTTAATTCTTATGCTCAAGCAATTAGAAACTTGATGTATGCAATGTTGTGTACTAGACCAGATTTTAGTAAACATCAAAGCAATCTAGGTCCAACACATTGAGAAGTTGTTGAAAGGATTATGAAGTATATAAGAGTTACATTGACTCACTGACTGGTTTATCAAGCAAATTCACTTGAAATCCTCAGTTACTCTGATGTTGATTTCGAAGGTAATAAAAATAACAGCAAATCCACTTTGAGACACTTGTTCATCTTTAGAAGAGCATTTTTCTTGGAATAGCGAGAAACAAGGTTTATGTTGCAAGATACACATAGCAAGCAGAATGTTTAGCTTGTAGTATGCAACTACACATGCTATCTAGATAAGACGATTTTTGATTGATTTAGATCTCAATCTATTAGAAGGACCTATTGATAAAGTGATAATAAGGTCGTGATTAGCCTGATTCACATTCTAAAAGAAAACACATTGATCCATTATTAGTATATTAGAGACATTGTAGATAAGGGAGAAATTAAACTGGCTTACATGTATGATTGTTGATCCCTTGACCAAAAGAATATCAGCGGAATATTCTATCAAATATGTAAGTTTAATAGGACGTGGTAATTAATAAGCAAAACTAAACTTCAAGAATGATGAAATAAGAGTTACTATACATGAACACTCAAAGTAAGAAGAAACATCTGATCTCATAGATAATGAAAGGCATATCGCTTAGATAATTTAGTCAAGTAGAAGATGTTATTTTGACTTGGTCAAGTGTGACCAAATCAACCAATATCCCAACAACTGATATTCTGTTAGAGAATAATGGTCGGTGGGAGTGGGATTGTTAGAGAGAATATCTCTTTGAGATATTTGAGTCACAATTGAGGAGTGGAAATAATAAGCGTATTTCCTCTATATAAAGCAAAGGGTTCCCTGTAAATATACACAGCTAAGAAAAATTCTTCTGGCCTTATATCCAAGCCCCTCAAAATCCAACATCCATCCCAAGTACACATTCTAATCGAGATGTTTCTTTTATCTTACCTAAGCCATCCACGTTAGAAGCTTTCTACTTTGTGAATAACTGACACTAGTCCTTGGATAAATGTTAGCATCAACAGGGAAGTGCTAGGAATAGAACCCCAGATCTAAGAAAGTTGTCCATGAACAGCAACGCTCGAGTTCATAACAACTTACTCTAACTCATTATTTAATTAGATAATTATTATGAAACCTCTGTAAAGTTCGGGAACTTACCAGGAAACTCCCTATGATTATCTTTTCATTACAAAACACCATGCAGTTAGAAAATCTGTTAGAACCCATCATATCAAAAACTACCGTCTTCTCCCACTTAACATATTTTCCCCCTCTCAAAAGACAAAACACATGGAATCTAAAAGTAACACCAAATAAAGGATAAAATCAAAGGATTTGAAGAGATTACCTCGATCTTCTTCTAATTTACTCTTTGTCAATGGTTGTAGGTCCATGGATTTAATATGAAGAGAGAGGATATAGGTCTTGCAATGGTTTGAGGCAGAAGGGCAACAATATGGAGAAGTAGTTTAGACAAAATGGTAAAATTAAATGGATTTTAACAGTTTATTTAACAGCTGGGGGTAGTATAATGGAAAAACTAACTTTGGGGGGTTTCCTAATAAATTCCCAAACCTGATGAGGAGGGGGCCATAATAATTATCCTATTTAATTTGTCAAGAAGAACCCAAGTCTATTACAAAAGCCAGGCTTCAGCTACATTGTAGTCCACCTGTTTGAGGAGTTGCATAATATTTTCAAAATTTTGCAGTGTCAGACACCTGAACACATAAGTTGAATACCCCTAACCCCTGACTCATACACAGCTCTGGTAAAGAAAAAAAAGAAGAGGGAATCGTGTCAACAAAAGATCCACAAAAAATTATTAAATCAGTGTTACACTTTGGTTTACTGTGGGATAATATTTAAACAACATGACACCTGTTAAATGCAGAAATTGCTCCACTAAACTTGAAATCAATAGTTTATGCGTATATATAGATATACAGTTATGTCCCCATGTGCTACTTTTTATAATTTTATAATTTGATGTGCCCGGCACTTTACAACTTAGTTACAATTGGTAAAACTGCTCATTGTAGCTTGACGAAGCCTGGCCTATTTAACTTGTACTTGAAGCCTAGCTTTATAAAATATTTTTAAAACAATATTCTAGACAGACGATTTTGATGTCTTTATTCTTGTACTACTGTATGAACATGTTGATTTCAGAAAATGTCTAATGCTGCGTTTGCGAAGTGGGGGAACCCCTAATCATATATCTTGTCGTCTATAAACAGTTGGTTAAGGTATCAGTTGCCATGCAGGCCTTGCCACTTCATTTTCGCTTTCTTTCATGTTTTCTCACTTTTTAGAGCTGATCAAATATTAAAATATCTCTCTTTATGGTTCTAACTCTGTTTAATAAAACTAAGGGCTAATTCCACAACCCCCTGAACTTTGGGGGTGGGGGTCATATACCCAACCACCCCAACCACCCTCCCAACCTCAAAAACCCCTTGATCTTTGAACTGTCCTTGCTGGACCCTCCTACTTATAAACTAAAAATAAATAAGATCTGCTTGAGAGAAAAAAAAAAAAAAAAAACCCACCAAATCCCCAAAAAAACCAAAAGAAAAAAAAACCAATGCTCAGGAGGGTTATGTGAAATTAACCCCAAAGTATGTGCCTTCACTTAATAAATCTTGCAAGTCAAAATGAAACCACAGTTAACCCTGAAAGTTGGGAAAGAATATAGTTCAAACCATTTTGAAGGGAAACAGAAAAGACGATGATGGAATTCGCAAGATGTTTTCAAGGTGCAAGTGTTTAGAAGTCAAAAGGCTGTTAATCGTTAGTGTGAAACCAGAAAAACAGAACTTCTAATCCAGCAATTTGATCATCGGTAACAAGAAAAAACAAGAAAGAGGATTAAGAATGAATATTTACCACGCTAGTATTGACATAAAGCTTAGGCCCCATAAAAGCAAACTGGAGAGATGCGGTGCTTTGCTGTTTACGCTGAGGTCCAAGAGGGAGGTCACCAAAGACAGGGGCCCACTGTCTTGGTAACTGAAACTCTAGAAACTGATGAAGCTCTTCTAATGGGGGCTTATCTGGAAACATGACGAAAATAACAAAAAAAAGCCACTCTAAGACATAAAGAAAGCATCAACAATATTAACTATTAAAATCCATTTTGCAGAATTCTATGTATGTACATGCATGTGTTGAGAAAACGGGCATTCATTTGGAGAACTGGGGCTCAAAATACTTTCTATGAACTTCCAAAAATTTCTCTGCTTTCCTCAAGCAGGAAAATATCAATGTCATGCCACAGTGATGATGTCTCCCCCCCCCCCCCCCCCCAAAAAAAAAAAAAAACACACACACACACACACAAAAGGAAGATGAATGAATAGCTCCCACATGCAGGTATAAGACGGTAAACGTATATTTGATGCAACTGTGTGGTGCCATAATGTTAAGAATATAGAATACGTTAGATGTAGGCCACACCCAATAACGACAGAAATCAATATCTTCATACCAACCATGTGGAATCTCAGACTGAGTATAATAACAACATATACTGAGAATGAACAGATATCAGCACTTCGTCACTGCGGGAAGTGTTAGGAAAGTGGGAAGATGAGATCTGAAAACAGGGATGCATAGTGAAACACAATGATGGCACTAAGCGATATCCATTATAAGACTTCTGATGGATAACTAGACAGCTAATAGCCTGGCTGGTTGTATTTTTGTAGTAATGAATGTCCACGTGGAGGCTCTGAAAGCCAAAGGACCGAAAAGAATACTAATAGATATTTAATAAACATTTAAATGGTGCATCAATCAAATTTAGTTATGACAGGGAGGACTGAGGAAAATCATCATTGGACGAGCAATATCATCAACCCAGAACCACTCAAATCTATAACAGAAAATACTCTGAGAGTGACAGCATATTTTTGATGGAATATAGGCGTCCAAAATATCGAAGGGTCAATATTCTAAAAGTACAGCTAACTATTGCTCAGTTGTGCATGGTTGTAACTACTATAGTTCTAGTGCATGTTATAAAGGCAACAAATTTGCAGAATCCAATCCTTTTCAATTAGGTTAAAAAGTAGTTCTTATGGCTTTAAACCTCATTAATGTTTCCTCCGATGAGTTTTCCAAATGTTTACCGAAAATATGGGAAAATGTGCAATTTTCAGGAAGATATCGCTTCCACCACTATATGTGACCAAGGAGATGGATGTGAATGCGAACAGAACACGCAAACGAGACTTACAGCGAAGGTAAAGGTTGATGGCATGGCTCAAGAAACCACTTCCTGGAACTCCTTGCAAAAGAGAAGTAATAGGCACGAAAGACATAGAGATAACATCAGGTACATACTGAACAGTGTTCAACCACTCATGATGTGTCAGGTCTTTGTTATCATTCCCCCCTCTTCTTTTGAAGATTCTCACAATATCCTGAAAACAAATACAAATTCTTCTTAAAAACAATCAATAAATAGAGATGCATAAATGTATACACCATTACATTTTTTTAAAATGCTTCAAAGAAAAAAAGGTTTTACCTCCTTTGTTGAGTAAGAGCTCGAGGGACTAGAGTCTGCAAACCTTAGTCTTTGCTCTTTGAAATCAAACTGCAACAATAATAAATATATATGCTTAAGAATACAAGTAAAGATACGAATATTATTTTCCAAGTTATTGCAGGAGAATTATTTTTGGCATCGACGACTTATGATGGTAAAAATGCCATTTACAGAAACAAGAAGAAGAGAAGGGGGAAAAGCTAGACACAAATATAACAACTTTTTTTTAGGATGCTTTTTTCCCTCATTGGAATTTTTAAATATAATTTAATATGTTTGCATATAAAAATTAATTCTCCATTGATAGTTTAATTAATTTTCTAGAAACAGACACTTACAGAAACTTGAGTGATTGAAATTCCATAATCATTTAGGAAATCTAAATAAGAATTATTAATCATGTCATAGAAAAAGTATGTAGAAAATTATTATTTATGTTTTGTGAACTTTCTAAAAGAAATAGAACTAACAGCATAGTTGAACAACAAGTTCATCCTTAATAGTCTCATTAGAAAAAGAACTTGGCAAGAAATAGTCAAACAGAATAACTATATAAATTCTTTTCAATATTGTCTTAAAACATTTTCAAAAAAATTCTATGTATGAGAAAAATATATATTATCGTCCAAATGTCCATTAAAAAATTGTGTATAGGAATAAGTACCCTTTAGGATACTTCTGTCATTAAGGATAATGTGCACTGCATGTGATAAAATTTTTTGATGGTAGAGTAACATAAGGTATTTTTTCCAGGTAAAACTGTTTTAAGTACGTGGTTAGCTGCTGGCACAAAGATGATGCTATTTTCTAGAAATTAGTCAAAAGTTCATGATAGATTTTTTGAAATTTAGCCTTTCAAAAATTGCAACACAGATGGTCAATTTTGCAAATGCAAGGAAAAATTATCAAGGAAATCTTACCTTTCCAGTCATCATGCTAAGAGCTCCATAACAACAAACCAAGAGAAGCACAGTGTGTTTTTAGATTTTAACTAAAACTCATACGCAAATTTTGAAGATCTAATTGTTACAAAAAGATATCAGTGCATGTAAACTAAAATTGGTTTGACATATTCTTTTATCAGAAGAACGTGAAACCATGATGATTAGAAAATCAGGACCTTATCAGTGGTTGTACTCCAAAGTTCTTCTTGGAAATCTTGTCAACATATTTAAGGACGATATAAATGATGATAAGATAAAAAATTCAGGACCTTATCCTTCCCCAATGCCTCTTCAGAATTCATGCCATATTGTCCATTCACATCTAGAAACCTTCTGTCTGCCATGTCTTTCATTCTTTTCTGAACTTCAGCAGGTTGTAGATTTGAGGAGTGCTGCTGCTTTACATATATGACATCCTTCCCTCCCATCTTCACCCCAACGATAACATGGGTGCCAAATTTTTCAATGAACCTGGGCGATCATAGAATAATAGAATGATAAGTTTCATAAATTTAGAACAGATTGTACTAACTAAAAGCAACCACAATTCATAGCTAGTAGCTGGCAGCTTAATAAATCTAGAATATGAGAGCATAAAAGCTAATGTAGGATAAGTAACACTGATCCATATTTAAGAATAATGAGGGAAATTTTCCAACCCAACTTGTGAAGCTACAGACCCTAGTGAGTTCAAAAGGCCTTAACAATTAGGTCATAATTGGCTCAACACAAGTAACCCATAAATGGGTTCGTGACTTGGTTAATGTCTGACAACCTTAACACCCCCAATCCCACCACACACCACATGTTTGTACTCAATGGATGCACGCACGCTTCACGCTGAAAGAATAGTGGTCGAAGTGATATCTAGTAAATTTGTATTGCTAGTTACTGCTGAATTTAGTTGCATCTCCAAATTTTCTCCCTAAAAACCCCCCAAAAGAAATATATATACTTAATAAGGATGATCAGTAATATACTTTATACAAATTGTTCATAGTTAAAATTATTAAGCATTCACTCTTAACCATTTCTTCAAATTAGCCGTACTACATGTTCAGATCAAGGGCATTCACGTAATGGTAATTGGCCTGCTTAATGAACATGTCAGATGTGGGCCAAGCCAAGACGTGTCAGCTAAACTCTTCAACCTGACCTGACTTAACCAATTGTCAGTTTGTCAGAAACCCTAATTAAGAGTCAAGGCAGGTGTAGCTTACTGGATGCTTGGAGGGTGACAAATACTCCAAGAGAAACAAACCCCTGGAAAGAAACTATCTACTCAATACAAGGCACTCAATAAAACTGAAGCAGCAGCCAAACTGAAATAAAAGAATGATAATAATAATAACAGGAAAGTGCGCGCATATACAATTCCAGCGTAAATTTCAATATCTCAGATTCATATTATGTTTACCCAACTATTACAAAGTACAAAAAGTTATACCAGGAAAACTAACTTGATTGAAATATGAAAAGGTTTACTTTCAATTGCTGAAAATTTCGGGCCCAAGTTATTAGTCATACAATATCAGTCATTTCGTTTTTATGAGGTAAACTGACCTTGCTAAGGCAGCAGGATCCCATGATGATGGAACTGCATGTTTAACATGATCCCGAAGAACAATTTGTGATTTTGCTAGAGCAACAGTATACATAGTAATAAACCAACCATCAAATGCAAGAGACTTGGTGTTTGCTGCGTCTTTCTGCCAACAATTAGAAAACTCAAACATATAATTGAATAGGCCAGATGGTATTTTACCAGACAATGAGAGTTCCTGGTTGAATTGCTCTGACATCTGCACAAAAGTTCATAAAGTTATTGTTTGCTTAATAGAGAATAATATTTTAAAGCACAGTTATGAGTCCTAACCGACACCCACTACCACCATCCACCACCAAAAGGTAAAAATTAAAATTTCAAAAATAAGGTACTGAGATTCCCTTGGCTCTAAGAACAAAGAATATAGAGAATGAAAATTAGAGCAATATGCAACCAGTCTAACCGCAATTTATCAAGTTGTCTTTGATTTTTTTTTCTCTGTGTTACTCCATTTTATTGTCTTGCCTTGGCCATTAGTTTCTTTCCTTTCACCCAAAAAACAAAAAAAAAACAAAACAAAAACTTTGTCCTGCTTTTCTTTTCCACAGCCCAAAATTTGCCCTCATGAACTCCTACCAACAAAACACCAAACAGTCCTCTCCTATCAAAAGGAGACAAACACACACACACACACACACAAAAAAACACTTGGTTTTTCCCTCTAAGCTAAAATGCCCTATGTAGCAATCAGTGAACAGAGTTACTGTTATCTTCCTCTCTGTCTGTTTTTACTTTCAATGAATTCATAGAAGCACATGTTCAAAAAGAATTGATCAAGTCATTTTCAGATCATCAACATATCCTGTTCCGCATCAATAACTCAAAAAGTTTTTTCCCCTTGTTCGCCTAAAATACCCCAAAGATTACCCCATATTTACCTTCACACCCCACAAGTATCTCTTGCCCAAATAATACCTCAATGTTCAACAAAATTTAATTCCGTTTGATAAAATCAAAAGAGACTACAAAGAGCAATTTTGATTACAGGTCCTATAGCTTAGCTTGTATCTCATAACACACTTTTAGCTTCGATCATAATAATTGCCAAAATTGTTAACTAGGACATATCTGATATACCTTTGATTATATTGACGGCCACAAATGCTTTTTGTAGTCTCCTTTGATTATATCAATTAACAGGGATATCAGAGTTTAATTTTGTTAAACATTGGGGCATGTTTTGGGGGTAAAAAGTACTCTGGGAATAAAAGTTGAAAATAGAGTGAACTTTGGGGTATTTAACTGCAATTAACCCAATAAAATAAGGTTCTGCTCCACTCCATGGCCTGATGATCAAGCAACAAAGTGAATGATACCTTAACCACCATATGTTGGATCCCTCTACTTAATCATATTAACATTTTCTCAGAACATGTAGTCCACCCATGTTGCTAGTATAAGTGGGGGTCGGTCAGCTTGGTCTGGGATATGAAAAATAAGGAGACACAAACACTCAATCAGATTATCAATTTTAATGAATGTGTTCAATGTGGGTGACCTTATCACACTCAGGTAGAGATGGAGAAGTGGGGAGGAATTCTGATCCTCTCCACAGCCAAATTAACACAGAGTCCACTTTGTCAATCACAATGGTATATTTACTGGATGGTTGTGATTCATCTAAAGTCAAAAGTCAAAGTAAGTGAAATCATGTAGGGCATGGTAAAATAATAGATTTGGAATGAATCACTATTGTCTAAATACCATACATGGTTACAATTGGAGAAAAGTGGACTCTCCAGTGGATTTTGGCAGTGGAGATGACCCAAATTAGTGGTGAGAGAGGTAGGCGAGTAGCTCATTGTAGCACTTCGAGCGATGGCTTCCTAGAGTCATTTCACTCGTGCATTTAGCACCATATGGCACTTGGTAATTTTTGTCTCCTATTACACCACAATATAGGACTTACCAGAGGATCATCCATCATGAATACTCTTATAGATTAGTTCATGGATCCTGACTCAAAAATTCTACCAATAAGCAATTATCAAGCCTATGGGTACTATGATAAACCAGTAACTCACATCCCATGTGGGGCTGGCTACTCACTTGGGGTATGTGCTTGTCCACACAAGCATCTAACCTGAGTTCGCTGGCAATTGACCATGATATACTTATTTTAACCTTATGAATAAGAAATGGTGAACTTAGATGCTTTTAATTCATAAATCTCGAGCAAAACAATATAATGTAAACTTCTCATTAGCCATTAGTTGACAAGCCGAAAAGCTCCACATGCTTGAAGCCTTGACTATTATTTTCATCAATCATAATGGTGTCAACAAAAATTATCCACAAGGCAGATCACTCATAGAAAGTTGTGTCACAAACACTCCTGTGTTCATACCATATGCACACCACAAGAACTGTAAGTGGAAACCACTATGCACATCCTTCGCAATGAGCATTACACATTTGTTCTCCACTTTTCTCTCTAAATATTCAGTCTCAAACAAAGTGACATTTTGGGATAAGTAAATGATTTGTTGCCTGGAAAATGTTGCAAATTCCAGTACCAAGTTAAGTTTTAAGACCTGAATAAGACTAAATTACCAGCTCCCTAGAAGTTCATCGAAAATATTATATACGTAAAAGTTTGGATGAAGGTTTTGCTATGTTCATTATCATACCAATATAAACAAGCTAGTACCTTGTAATTGTTGTCCTCTCAAACAAGAGATAACTGGACATTCGGGAGCAACCGATTGCCATAAATATTTGTATGCTAAATCAAATATTGAAGTTTTCCATTACCATTTTGGAAAAGAATAAATCAGATATCTGGAGTAAACCAAAACTTGGGATACTTTTGAGCAAGTGAAAACACTCATAGTCATACTAGCTATCATGATAATCTTATCCCCTCTTTATCACATATTTATTTGATGAGTTAGGAAATTTTTGGAGGGTTAATGTAAATGTAACGTTTATTCTAATAAAGCAGAAGATGGCATATAAGGATTTCTAGAATGTTATTCACTTAAAATCGAATAAGCAATCCACTCAGGAAAACATTTCAACCATGATGATGGTTGATAATAAAGTTATTCTATGAACCATGATTTGTGTTGATAATAAAATTATCCTATCGAAACAAATCTTCCACTTATATAGGAGTTGATTCTAATCAAAAATGCTAGCAAACAAAGGTCTACCACAATTACATTTTAACTAAACATGAAAGCATCATATATGGATACATTACAGTAGTATTCACTTAACATCTATATCATCCAGGTTAACAGAGTGATTCTTGCCATGATTAGTGCTAACTGCTAATAATGAGTTATGTATTACGATTAAACTTCTCTTGACAGATTGTTTCTATCCACGACATGTGTGATTTTCTTTATGCCACATTAAGGTTGATAATAAAGTGATAATATATCAAGTATAGATTAAGCTTTTATTTTATTTTTTTCCCTGTTTAATATTTGTTATCTGTAGGCAATGATTAGGAGTTTCCTCTCAGCATCAAAGTGCCAATCCATCATGGCAGGATGATTCCTTACATGATCTAATGATTAGTATTATGAAGCTACATTATATAGATTTAATTTTGTATTGCCAAACATTTTTTTCCTTTTTTTACTTGTGACACTTTCTCAAGTGTTTAACTCGTTATTAATGGAAGTATAGACCACAGATCCCATAATAACAAGAATATAGAAAGCAAAATTATCTCAATGTATGTGATAGAAGAAACTTTTGAAAGCATATACATACTGGAGAAGAAAAGATAAGAAACCAGGTTGTCAATCAAGAAAGGAAACTTTATTAGGATAGAAGAACCAAAGCTCTCTGTCTGCATATAATAAGTCCTTGGACAACAAGGATAGCCATCTTTATACATATTTTACTATTATATTAGTTGACCCGCTTATAGGGTGAGAAATTGCTCTTCATTCGATACAGATTCACTGCACAAGTGAGCTTCACGCATACTGCTTTTAAATTAAACAATGATGATGACAAAGAAATTGCATAATAACTGATCTCAGCTGATAATGTCAAATTAGAAGTGCATAATAGGGTCTAACCACATGCAGGATAAGATGTTATAAAATGAAAATGCTGATAGTATCAGAAGATCGTGAGTTCTATCAATAAGTTCAATGGAAAAAGCAGATAATTCAAGCGGAGATTAATCATAAGATTCAGCTTGACCAGCAGAATAATACCTGCTGAAACGAGAGAACATCAGACCTAAACCTCGTCCTCTCTCCTTTATCACATTTTATTGATTTCGGGACATTTGGGACAGTTATACCACCAGGAAGAACAATGTCCTGAGCCTGATCACTGTCGAGCTCAATCAAACAAGGATCCGGTGACTCACTTTTGCAGAACTTGAGCCGTATATCCGAAGCAATGTCATAACCCAACCCAATTGAATTTATTGCAACCTCAGCAGCATCTTGCGGTGGAAGTTTTAGTGCCATTTCTCAAACATCCATAGAAAACTCCACAATGACAGATTTATTATCACCCAAACAAAATTCCCTTGATAACTTGAACACCTCCTCAATGAGAGCCGTCAGTTTTATAGTTCACTTAAAGACAATACCAAATTGTCAGGATCACGCCTTTCGGCCAAAATTACCCATATTTCTTCCAGAAAACCCCAGATTTGATAAATTCTGAGATCAGCTCAGAACTTCAAAGCAATCTTTGCCGAAATTTACAAAACTCGCCAGATTAAACCCTAGATTTCTTCAAAAATTGAACACTTCCGGCTAAAATCCCCCGATAAATCCTCAAACACGTCAAAATCACCAACTTTCTACAAAGATCTCAGCAATTAAACACCAAAAGATAGACTATACCTGAAGACTAGACTCATCCACTCGCCGAAGAGGAGCAGAAGCGAAACCCTAACCCTTGATTTCCTGCGAATTTTCAGGTGCCAAGCGAGGAGAATTATTTCCCTCCCTCTCAGCCACAAGACCTAGATGTTTCTCGAGAGAAAAAAAAAATAGACTAAATGAATTTCCGCGGTTTTATTTATTTTTTAACTTTTATAATTACCATTTAAAGTTATTATGATATTAATTGATGGGTCAAAAGGCAGCACAAGATGCTCTTCAATGACGGATGACGTCGGCTATGTTGACTTCGCTCCATGTTATGTGACCCTTCTGGTGTGATTCCTATACACGATGAAGGTCGGTGTAGCGACGCTCTCTTGAGATGTACCGAATTTTCCACGTGGAGAGAAATCATCCGGTGCGAAAGCTGAGCGGTGTTTCGCCGCCCAGCTCGACGGTTTTGACTTGGATTCATTAGCCAGAAGAAGGTCCGACCAAATTTAAAGGCCGACACGTGGCATAAGTAATGTTACTATCAAAACCCCATGCGATCAAGCAGATTTTGATAAGGGATAAATAAAATCTAAGTTACAAGTGCACAACTATCAAGTTATAGTATAAAATATTATCGAATCACATGAAGAATGTGTTATAAGAATTAATCTAAATTTGATTCTTAAGTTGTATATTGTGTAGGCAAGTAGGAGTGTAAATGTGATTATGAAGAGATATGAAGAGTTAGTGTGATTATATGCAAATAAAACAAAATTAGAGGCAAGAAGAAGTTTAGAGGAAAATAAGAAACAAATAAAGAAAAATTAAGATAAAGAAAAAAAATCACAAGTAAAAGATGGAGCTTAGAGAAGTGAGGAATCTAGAATTGAATCTGCTAGTTAATTTCATTTAAGGTTTATGAACTATTCTCTTTTTATCTGTAGACATACAAAAATATTATGTATCAACAAACCACAAGTTTAATTAATTAAAGGGTTTAATGCCTTTTGATAAGCTTTGAAAGTGAAATCAGCTTGAGGGTACATACAGCTAATATACAAGTTAATTTGAAGTAAGCTCTCCATATTAATTCAGAGAGGCACGCCTTATCAAATTTGATGAACTCAACAAGCCTTATAACATAAAACTTATCGTGAGAATGATAGTACCTTATATAAATGAAAATCAAGGTGAGGATGATAGCACCTCATATAAATTTGAGAGTATATGCACCCTCTGTTATTCAACAAAAAAACACATGCATCATCCCTTCATATTAACCAAATTCTCAAACTGGAAGGTATATATCAACTTCAATACATTGGTGGTGTCATGTGATCATAAGCGTTGACAATAAAAATCCAACTCAAGGATACTCACTCTCATACAAACCTAATTTTAGCTTGAAGGTAATACGGGCTCCACATAACACCTATTTTAAGAAATATAAAAGATAAGTTGATAGACAAATGAGAATTAAAAGGCAAAGAAAATGTTTGTTATGATAAACGAACGCAATAATCTTGACAAGAAAGTTTCAATAAGAAAGTTGTAATGACTCCCCCACCAATCCCTTTTCAACACCTGGCGATAACTTCCCCTTGCCTTGTTATAAATTGAGACCTCATTTGCCATTCGACAAGGACGATAAAAAAAAGAATGATAGAAAAGATAGAGAAAAGGCTAAGAGATTGAAAAGAAAGAGAGACTTAGAGTCTGAAACAGCAACGATAAGGTCCTCTATATTTTATATTTTGAAAGGGGGGAGGGCTCCAGAATATTGTCTAGAGATCCAAGATCCCATCTTTTTTTTTTCCTTAAATTTTATAGTACATTAAAAAGATAATAAAATCAATATCTTTCTGCATTTAATTTCTAATGTATGTTTAATTATTTTCTTTCTATTAATCAGGGGTTTCTTTTAATAAGAGTAATTAACATGAAGAAATAAATTTCTGAAAGCATGTGTCTCATAACTTCTTTTTTACAAACAAAGTGATACTAATATGTATCTAAGGAGTAAATATTTATGGATTGCTCTACTCTTCTTGAGATTGATGATAAAACTTAGTCAAGAAGAGATAGTCTACCCAAATATTGTTTCTCCTCTGATGGATACTAGCATCACTTTAATTTTTTTTACAAAATATACACGTCAGGCATTCCGACACTTATATTATTATATTCTACTTTAGACTTATTAAGCATAGACTATCAAACCACTTAAGGAAAGCATAACCCATCAAATTATTATCTAAGTAAAATTAACATTCATGAAAAGAACAACAACTAGATATTAATTCTAGAATTCATAAGCATAACCTCTCAAACCACTCAAGATAAGCATAGTTTATCAAATTCTTCGTCTACCAATTAGTTCTCTAGTAAATTATCCTAAACATGATCATTTTAAGCACAAGAGAGTAATTCACAAATTATAAAAGAAATCAAATTAGTTTCATGCAATTTTAGGATTTCTACAAGATTTTAGTAACACATTTTGAAAAATAAAGAGATAAAATCTAAACTAAAGATTATGAAAGAAAGAGAATAAAAAACAAGAAAACTAAAAACTAACTACAAAAGTAAGAATAGGAATAATGTAAGTACCATGAATTTTGATACTAGTTAAAATAATTTTTTTAGTATTTTAAACTATTTAATTATGATTTTTAAGATAGTATTTATATTTTTCTTGAATTTCTATACTTTTTTATAATTTAAAGTCTAAGTTTTATATTTATTTAAATGATTTAAATATTTATAAATTTATTTAGTGCAGTAAAAATTTTTGGAATTTATCCGTTGAGTTACCGGTACTATTACGTATTATTTTGGATAATACGTGGTATTATTATTATTATTACGTATATTTTTGTATAATACATTATATTATTAATTACGTATTATTTGTATAATTTGTTGTATTATTTCTACTATTGCTTATTACCTATCGTATTAGCATGACTGGTACGTTTTATCGCGTAGATAATTATTATATAATTTATTTGATTTTAAATATAAGTAATTATATTTTTTATTAATTATTCTTGTTTAATTGTGCAATTTCTTGCGTTAATTCTACTGTTGTGTATTATTGATTGTAATACTACAAATTGTACGTTTTAATGCGTAGATAATTTTCACATAATTATTTATTTTATTTCGTAATTATTGTTATTTTTAATTAAATTTTGAAAACCCTAATTCATCCCCTCCCCCTTCTCTCTCTCTCTCTCTTCTTCTCTATATATTATATATATATATATATATATTATATATATATATATATATATATATATATATATATAAATTTTCTTTTCCAGCTCTCGTTCTCTCTCTTTCTTCTTCACAAACTTGGCCACCCCACTCGTTTCTCTCTCCTCTCTCTTCATCTCTCCCCGTCGAGCACCCCGCTCGCCGTCAACCTCCACCCATCCCTCCTCCTGCCCCACCATCCGGCCACCGCCTTCACCAGGGCCACGCACACTTTCGTTGCCATTCCGGCAATCACCACGCATTCATCCTCCTCCCCCTTCTCGCGCCTCCCGCAAGCACAGCGGCAGTACCTGACGCCCCTTCGCCTCCGGTTCTCCGGCGCTTAGCAGGCCACTCTACCCCTCGCCGTACCGCCCCAGCACTCGAACCAGCCTCTCCCTCCCGTCGGCCTCCTCAATAGCCCCTCCGATAGCCTGCCTCCACTGGTACCGCTCTCTCTCCCCGACCCCCTTCACGCCTCGGCACCCTGCACCTCGTGCAGCCACTTCACTCCGACACCAGCCCGTAAACTCGGACCACCCCCCCTCAAGATCTGACGCACGCGCGTCGCGTTCAGCCCCCAGCAGGAAGCTGTCAGTCCGTCGTCCACTGCCCCGTCGAACTCCCCGCGGTCAGCCCCTGCAGTCTCGTCCGCCTCCTCGTTGTGCTCCACCGTGCCAGATCTGATTCGGGCCATCGACGTCGATTCGTTCGACAAAAACCCGAGGCAAGATTCCGCTTCTCATTGTCGTTTCAATAATTATATATTATATGGGTAGATTAGTTTGTAGTATAATTATCTGCGTGTGTTTGATGAATAATATTGAATGAATAGTAGTTATGTGATGAATAGTATTTCCAGGACAAATATAATAAATTAAAGAATTTATTTGGGTAATAGAATTATTTTAGATTATTTATAATTTTTTAGAATTTATGTTGTGGAACGAAATTATTTTATAATGAGAAATGTTTTTAAATAAGTTATTTTGGAAAAAGATTATTTTTGTATTATGACTGTGTGATTGATAGTTGAAGAACACGACGTTTCATGTACATTGACACCGACATGTTGACACTGTTATTTATACTCACTCATGTCATATATGCACACCTGGTTTCATCTCTAGCTTATATAGTCATGTTCATCATATGATTTGCATAAGATTAGTTGTATTTATTCATTATTTCTTGTTTTGTTAAGAACCGTTAGTAGTTCATGTCCTTAGTTGCCTAGCGTGTCGTGTACAAGACCATGATACCTGTGTATTGTTGACTTAGAAAACAAGAGAGTTGGGATGGGAAAGTCCATATTCATGTGATCGGATAAGGCTGTTGATGTATCTTCCAGGCCTCCCCATGATCCAGTGTAGTTTGGGATTGGTTTGTTGGGTCAAAGTGGAGCCGGTGTAGCCACTTTGGTCTGTGAGCTTGATATTCACCTGATTCTTGCTTGAGTTCGAACCAGACCGAAATCGGATTGTGTGTAGCCCTCTGACCGATCCAGTGTAGCGGCGTATTGGGTGTACGTAGGGGATTTGTGAACAGTCAACTATCCGATGATAGGAGCGTTGACTCTGTGTGAGATGTGGACCAACGACCTGTTATAGAATGACTAGTTACCTGATCTTATTACTTAAGGTGATTAGGATTCTTGTGTGAGATGTAGGTCAGTTGTGTTCTTTTCATACATAGATTGGGGTTAATATTTAATTAGCTATAATTTGAGACATATGGTATATACATGAGGGTTTCCTTGTTTGAATTATTTCGCTTGACGTACTACGTCTCATGTTGTAGATTTTTAGGTATTAATTCCATCTATTGTATGCCCCGGTTACTTGGATGATTAGACTGATCGCTAGCTGCATGATCTCGTTTCCTGATCGATTTTGGATGTTTTATGTTTATCATGTTTTAGTAGTGTTTTCGC